CACTCGTCTTCTTGTAGCCAAAGTGCCCAGTTGCGTCATGACATTCTCCTAAAAATAAACTACGCAACTGTTCACTAGATGGAACTACCAATCTTCTTACTCCGGCCTTATCAAGATAGATTAGCCCATCCACCATCACAAACTCACTTTCTGTGGCCTTGTCTTTTGCCTGAAGTTTGCGGATGATGTCCATCGTGACAGGGTCTTCCTGATAGGCTCCCACCAATGATTGAGTTACTTCATTAGATACACCAAATTCAGAAACTAGCGCACCTAGGTAGTCTGCTCTACGGGATAGCGCGTCTACAACCTTGTTGTACTCTCCCTTCAGGTACTCAAGCTTGAAGTCATATTGGTCTATGACCTCAATCCATCGCTTGAGTGCATAAGAAAGAGTCGGTTGAGTCTTGATCCATTTGAGGGTCTGATGATCAGTCCTCAGATAGAAGAACCTTCCCAAAAGGAAGTGTCTCCAATGGACAAGTGCCTTGTAGAGAGCATAGAGTTCCCTTTCGTAGGTGGACTTAGCCAACTTCTTCGATGGCATCTTCTTACTCATGTAGTCAATCGGTCTCAACTTCTTCCCATCCTGCTGAGCCAGCACTGCGCCAATGCCGTATTGGCTTGCGTCAGTGGTCACTATGAATGGCTTCTGCGGATCGGGAACCATGAGAACTTCATGATTCATGAGTGCATGCTTCAGTCTCTTGAAAGCACCCGTGCACTCATCACTCCAGTCCCACGGTGTGTCAAGTCGAGTTAGATCAGTCAAAGGAGAGGCGACTGTAGAATAGTTCTTTACGAAGTTCCTATAGTAGCCGCACATTCCTAAGAATGACCTGACCTCAGTGACAGTCTGAGGTCATGGCCAGTCTCGAATACTAGCCACCTTCGCATCCTCCGGCCTAATCCCCTCCGCGGATACTTCATGACCCAAGTATAGTATCTTTGTGCGACCGAATTCACACTTCTCTAAGTTGACCTTATACTTGTGTTGTCGTAGGAGTGAGAAAACTGTCTCAACGTGCTTTGCGTGCTCCTCGGCAGACTTACTAAAGATCAGAATGTCGTCTAAGTAGACCACGACAAACTTATCTAAATGGTCATGCAAGATCCGATTCTACCCGCCGCATTACAAAGACCAAAAGGCATCACTACAAACTCATACAGACCATAACGAGTCTGAAAAGCTGTCTTGTGTTGGTCCTCAGGTCTTATCGCGATCTGGAGATATTCGGATTTCAAGTCTATCTTTGTATAGTACTTGCATCCCTGCACCCTATCCAATAGGTCGTCTATGCGAGGTAGAGGCTCTGCGTTTTTCACAGTGATGGCATTGAGGCCCCTATAATCAATGCACATCCTCAAAGTACCCCCCTTCTTTGGTACGAATAGCACGGGAGATCCGTAAGGGGAAGTACTAGGCCGAATCCATCCCTTCTCTGTCAGCTCCTTTAGTTGCTTCCGAAGTTCATCTAACTCGGCAGGGGCCATCCTATAGATCCTTCCCTTTGGGGTCTTACTCCCTGGAATGATTTCTATAGCGTGGACGACTTCCCTATCAACAACTCCTGAGGGCTCCTCGAACAGATCAGGGAACTTAGCAACGACGCGTTCTATCTCTGGGGGTGTTTTAACGGCCTCCCCCTTCTCAGAGACATAAACAAGGTACACACCCTCCTCTTCGTTTTGCTTGTAATAGTTGTAGAACGCGGATGCGCACAAGCAGCCATAGGTATCTATAATACTACTAGCCTTGAACTTGGTCAATCTGACAGTTCGGCCATCGGGCAACTTGTGTTTGAGCACCTTCTTATCCCAGTCGAACTGGGGCTTAGCAACTTCGAGGTAGTACATGCGTAACAGCATATCGAATGGCAAGTCATCGCTAACCAAGAACGAGATCTTATGGTTAAGCTCACCTCCTCCATAGGAGAAGGTACAGACTACGTCCTTGATGTAGTCTGTCACTATCATGCGCTCCTTGTTGGGCAAAGTAGATGCTACTGGTTTACTAAGGTGCCGTACCCGGTCCTGTAGGTGCAGCCTTTCCAAACAGTCGCGGCTTATATAATTTCGTGTGGATCCGATGTCTATGAAAGCACCACATTTGCGGCCTCCTACATCCACTTCCACCACGAAATGTTCCCCTCTAGGACCCTTCTTTAGTGCCACCCAAGACTCGCGAGGGTCCTTGTTTGACCACTCGCCTTCTAAGTCTTCTAAGGCTTCAGACACATCCAACGTACAGAGCATAGTTTGGTCTAGATGCGTCTGCGGGGTGACTAAGGAGTCATTAGCTTCGACCGTGTTATGAAGTGAGGAGGGTATCATGCCCACTTCATCTTGAGTAGAAGCCGCTACTACTTCCACTGGCCCTACGCGTTTCCCGAGCTAGAAGCCTGGGAATAAGATGCCCCCATCTGTGGAGCAATCTTTTGCGTAACCTTAGCGTTCTGACATTTCCACTGCGTGTGTCCGTATTCTCCGCAGTTGATACAAGCGCCACGCATTCGGCGGTCACGCCACACGTCTTGATCAAGACCTGCCTTAAACCACTCAGCCTGTTTGGTCTGATTGGAGGCGGTCTTCCCTTGACTCCTAGGTTGGCCTTTCCCTCGGCCACCTGCCTTAGTCTTTACTACCGCGGCGAGGGTGCCACCCTCAACTACCTCCTCGTCGTCATACTCTGAGTAGTCCATCAGGTCAGAGAGTTTGTCAATCTCAGTCTGAGTCCCATCGGACTCAACCATCATCAACTTAGCCCCCTTCTTCTTCCACTCCTGAGGACTCTTCTTCTTCTTTGAGTCATTCCCTGAGGTGGGTTGAGCATTGCCTAGCGTGGCTTCCAAATCTAAAGCCTTCCTAGACAATGTCTCAAATGAGTGGTACTCGGTGCCTGCCTCACTGGCTAGTAAGTTCCTGATGTTCTCAGGGAGACATCTAACAAACGTTGTTAACAGGAACTGGTCGCTGTAGTTGATACCTGGGACGAGGATCAAGCTCTCAACAGTAGTCGTAAGCTCCCTAACTGACCTGAACTTGCGTTGGTCCAGTTTGTTAATGGCATCAGTGGCTCTTTGCGCCTCCTGTGGATTATGCCATCGAGCTTCTACCATTTCCATGAATTGGTCTAAAGTCAAAGACTTAGCCCAATCCGCCATGCATCGCCCGTACCCGACCTTCACAACTACACCATCTAACCATTTGGCTGCCTTACCCTCTAGGTAAGATGCCGCAGTTACCACTTCATCCTCTGGCAAGGTCCTTTTGGCCTTCACCCAAATCGGGACCATCCTCAACCCTGTGTTGAACTCCTCGTCCTTTCTCTCGCCTGAGAAGGCAAGAGGCGGTTTCATTGGGGTCTTGGGATACCATTGACCTTGTGGCTGTCCAGATTGCTGAACAGGTTGTTGTGGTGATGTAGCAATCACCGCTGGACCCGAAGAAGAAGATGCAACAGTCTGTGAGACTGCTGCAGACGTACCACTTGGCTGGGTGCCAACTTGTACGGGAAAGGGGCCTGACATCGCCGTTAACGGCAACGACGATTGTGCTGGTGACCGGAATCCTTGCTTTGTCAATGCATCCAGGATCTGGTCCAAAGTGCTATGCATGAAGTCCAACCTGCTGTCTACGTGCGCGTGCAGTGACAACATGTTGTTCTTCAACACTTTCAGGGGCCCAGACAAACCTGTTTCGTCCAATCCCTCTAATGCAGCTTTGTCAGCCTCTAACGTATCAAGTCTGGCCGCTCTACTTTTTATCTCTCTTTCTCTATCGGTTGCTTTCTTTAGATCCTCCTCTAACTGCTGGCGGAGCCTCTCGACCTGCTGGATCTCTCTAAGCGTCCCTCTCACGTGGGGTCAACGGGCTGAACTGCGAGCCCGCCATTTGACTAGAAGACTGTCTAGACCCTGTTGAACCGGAAGTGCCCGAGGAACTCGTGGAACTCAGTGGCATTCCCAACTGATTCCCACTAGTCCCTGACGAGGACGCAGACGCTGACGCAACAGAGCAGGTACCGTTAGCCATTGCTGCTGCTCTGGCTGTTGTTGCCCGCTCTCTTGCTACTCTGTTTGCTTCCTGTAGTCCTGCTGCTAGAGCACGGGCTCTACGTTCGGCACAAAGACGTCTTTCTTCTCCCTCGTCCAAGGTCCTGAACACGTGCGGAACCCTTAATGCTTCCGAACGTGTAAGTCTCCTATTGTCAGCTCTATCATCAACAGGATCTGATCCACTCATTAGTTAGGCAGATAGTTTCTGCACTAGAATCTCCTATTGTCAGCTCTATCATCAACAGGATCTGATCCACTCATTAGTTAGGCAGATAGTTTCTGCACTAGAATCCCCTAGTGGAATCCTACCACAGTATGTATCTGACCGGCACCTAATTTTCTAACAATAGTTGTGTCCGGCGAGTATCCTACTATTCCGAATCAAGTGGCATGTCTACAACATTCACACAGATTGTCTACATAGTCTAGATGCACCCTGAATGGTTCACTTACAGCAACATTAGTTAGAACTGGCYATGGTAGCATACAACAGTCCTACACTAATCTGTCTGTGAGGTTAGCAGTCCGTCAACCAACTAATCAAAGGTACAAAAAGACAATGTAGCAGATGTATGATGAGTGGGTATAGTTGTGTATTCAGTTGAGCTCCAATTGGAACCTACCCTCCCCTCCATCCAACATACCAAACAACATCTTGAGCAAAGCAGTGTTTTCTTGTGTGTATCGGCCCACCCTGTGCCCAAGTTGTCACTGAGCAAGCCAGCCCAACCACTCTTATTTACCCTCGTACGGCGACGAGCCTTCCTGTCCATGTGATCCGGCTGATCAGGAGGAATTTATAGAGCGCCCCCATCTCTTCAGGAATTATTTAACGTCGCAGTCAAGACGACGATCACAGCCAGATTCACAATGAACTCCCAACCAGAAATATTTATAGACGGTCTGGTAAGCGTCTGTCATGGGCTGGCACACCCGGAGCAACTTCTATTTGGCGCAGCAAAGTGCCTTAATGGACAGCAGCCATCTTATGCGTGACCTACTCCCATTGGGTTGGCATGGTGACCGTGACCCAGTGCTTCGACCAGGGCCCTTCAGAGGCACCGCCCTTTCTCCTTCCAGATGCTTCTGGGACGATTGTCGTCTCTCAAGGTAGCGCGCTCACGACACCTCACCAAAAGAGAGGACTCTCAAGTTGTACTCACTTCCTCACGGTAAGAAGAGATTGAGAGAGTAGATAAGGTAAGGGAACAACGTACTTGGAGATAGCTGCCCCCAACCACAGATTTCTCACCAATTGAGCTGAATGTGCATTTGATGACCGGTCTTGACCTCGGTACCACCAACAACGCAATGTAGTGCCACCTCAGCCGAATGCAACATCAGCATGCTCTCATCACCAATTATACATTCCGCATGTATCCACGGCATACACCGCCGTCTTAGCCTTCCGGTGCACCCCTCTCTACCCAGGGCGTGCACCTATAGTGGCCTGACGTCACAAGTACCCACTGCGAAGAAGCATCGTCAACGCACCAAGTCTGTATAACGCCAGCGTGCCAAAGGTAAGTGGCGATCAAACCAGCTCTGATACCAAATTGCAAGGAACATGAGTATGGACGAAGCACAAAAATCCAGAATGCAAAATCACACTGAAGTCCAAGTAGTCAAAGCCAAAGCAAATAGCACATGGAACCGAGTAACCATCCAATTGAGAATGATACAGAAGAATCGTGAGTCAATGTCCATGCCCAACAGGGCAACACCAACAGCATAACCCAAATGTAGCTCTCTCTTGTGAATGGCGCCAGGCGGCCTATCTACACTACAGCCTATACTACAACTACAGCAATGAAAAGCAACCAGACAACTTGACTACCAGCGAGTGATGATGTCAACACCAATGCCGACCTCCATCTCCACCAGGTACGTGTCCTCTTCCCCACACTCTCCTTTGTTACCCACACAGCGCCCTTCACCTCCGAAGTACCACCTTCGCCCTTCACCCCTTTGCGCCCTCTGCAGCCCGGCTTTGGCCGCCAAGCGCCTTGCATGCAGGCAGCGCCCTACCGCCTAGCGCTTGCCTGCCCTACCTTAGCGCAACGCTGCTCATGCATAGCGCAACACACCTGCATCTGTGCAGCGTGCCCGCAATGCCATCTCATCAGTTTCACCTCCTGATAGGATCGAGTGTTCCCACGTATCAAGAGGTGTTCCCACTGTCCTAATGCCTGGATCCTGTTTCACCTCCTGATAGGATCCAGTGTTCCCACGTATCCGGAGGTGTTCCCAATGCCATCTCATCAGTTTCACCTCTTGATAGGATCCAGTGTTCCCACTCCTGCACAACCCTAGTCAGGAGTGAGTCACCCTCTGTCCAATTCTTCTCGCCACACACTCACAGCCACCACCCTTCCTGACAACAACCCTGAAGATGATGAATCGCCATGAGACAACTCCCGTATCTCGCCAGATGATGATGGGTGCTCCAACTCATCAATTGCTTCAGAGTCTGGATCCAATTGCTCCGATACCAGCTGTTATGATTCTGGTTGTTTGTTGTCTGAAGACCAACACTCACTCACATAGACTTCCAGGTATGCCCATACATACACAGAAGGAAGGGGAGAGGATAGGAGTATCACACCGCACAGGGAGAGATAACACAGCGGAAGACTTGACCATGCGATATGACAGGGTACACTGAAAGTGCAATTCACTCCACTCAATCCTCACAACCAGTCATAGAGAAAAGCCGAGCAGATCACATCCAGGAAACAATGAAACGATGGTAGTCCAAATCCAGTTACACACTGTTTATTAAACTCAGAGTCTCGAATTGTCAAGATATCTTCAGAACTACAATGCGCTGCTCAGAAACGAGCAGCGCTTCACTCCCCAACCCTAATTAGCACCCGTAACACCCCTGAGCCCCTGAAACATCAAGTGCCACCCAAATACAGCCTCCTGAGGGAAGCACCACCCTGAAACAGGCCTCTGAGGCCAAGCGCCACTCAGAGGATGAAGAAGAAGACCAGCGCCACAGTATCTGATGATGACGAAGTGTCAAAAGACTTCCCGGGTGGAAGTCTGCAGCAGCGCCACCAAACCCTGACAAGATGACCTCTGAGGAAGGCGCTGCAGCTATGGCTGCAGCGCCACCACCCTGGAACCCCATTCCGGAGGAGGGTCCAGCAGGGCACCAATCTCTCTCGCCTCCAGCAGACCTCGATAGCCCAGACCTCTGTCAGCCCCTGCGTGCCGGTAGAGTACAGCGCAGGTCCTAGCTATGGCCGACGCTCCGAAGGTCTGGCTATGTCTGTCTCCTTTCACGCTGAGTTGTCACCACTTCCGGTTCACGCCCTGAGCCGATGTGCCCATCCTATCTATAGACTACAACTAGCCTAGACTCGACCTAGGCCGGACTGACTGACCGACCGGGACCGTATCTGTTTCGGCATCTCGGCCTCTACCGGACCCGGCTATAGGCTATAGGACCGTCTATCAGACCTGTCTGTCCTAGGGGTAGCCCGGGCCGGCTACTCGCAGTTAGGGTAGCTATAGGGAAGTCGGTTAATACCGGGCCTGCATTTTCCCGTATTTGCAGATATGTCCCTCACGATTTCCCTCACAGGCAGGTCTCTCGGTTAGCCCTCAGCCAAACAAAAATTACGAATCTGTCCTACCTATAGTACAGCCTCGACAGAGAGAGGCTACAGGCGACCAGAAAACAGCAAGTCGTTGCACCAATACAGAGAATGAAGAGTAGCATGACCCCTGCACACAGATGATCCTTGGCACACACATTGAGAAATCGTCCAAATTTAAACCTGGAGACATTTGCAATCTACAGCAATGGAGCTGACCGTCTGCATCTCCATGCTGAAGATGGTCTGTCTGCTCACTGCAAACGGCCGGATTCAGACTGTTTGGATGTGTCTGGAAACAACCTGGTGTGCAATTTGAACACTGGTCCGTATGTCTACAAGAACTCGCGTGCTACTTGTATGCTACCGAGGTAACCGTTGCGATTCAAACAACGAATGTCAGTGAGTCTTATCTTTGAAACTTTCTCTAAAAATACGATGGACGGACGACTAAGGTCGCTGCCCAGTTTGTATGGAAACAAATTTTATAGGGTTTCGTCATCCACAAGCTAACAGCTTTGCATGGAGGATCAGGCACTGCCAGATATCTTGCCTCAGAGTCTTACCTTGCTGCAAATGACTTCTGAACTGTCATCTTTTTCTAAAGGCAGGTACTAGGCGCTAACATTGTCGTGTTCATGTTTTTTTTTTTTTTAAACAGAACCTCAGAGTTCCGGCTCCTTTTCCATTCTGGGGAGCATCAGTCCGGTTCCTATTCCACCGGCAGGGATTACAATAAGTACTCACTCAGGCTCCTCCCCCTCATGGTGTGGAGGCCCAAAGGACAGCATTGATTACTTCCCGAAGGAAGGATGTACCACCCTTCACCCCTGCCTAAGTTAGCCTGTTCTATTGGGCATCGACTCTTATCCTGTATTTGGTGCTAAGCCCTCACTTAATGTGTCTTTGCCTGTAGTTTGTTCCTGACGGTCGTTTCTATACCATGGCTATTGTTTACGCCTGTTGTGGTTGCTGGGGCTGGTCTAAATTCAAGTTTCGCCTGAAGGTAAGGAGTGGTCTGTTTGGATTCTGGTGGAGACTTTCCTCGTAGGGTAGATGCTGAGGGCTGGCAGGTGACTGGGTTGGGGGGTTTTGGATAGGTGTAGTGTATTAGGTAGTTTAATGAAGGTGTGGGGGGAGGGGGGAAGAGAGGGGGGGGGATGATTGGAGAGTGTGGTGGTGTGAAGACAGTCGCTTGGGGTTGTGGGGGGGTCGGGGGGAGGAGTGGGTTTGTTGAGGGAAGAGGGATGTTTACTGGTTTGGTTGTTGGATTAGTGGTCAGTGGCTGGTTTGGCGGGGTTAGGGAAGTTGCAGAGGCACTTCGTATCTGTGTTATGATTAGCCGATTTTTAGGACTATTCTGTCGTGTTTTTTTTTTTTTTTTTTTCCCCCCTTCAATGTGCTATGATCTGAAAGTGGAAGGTTATTGAGACTGCTGGCTCGCTAAAACCCTGAACCCTAGTGCAAGGAATATGAGAGTGAGCAATATACATAAGACCAAGTTGCGAAATCACACAGCTGAGCAAGTAGTAGTATCCCAAGTAGAGAGTACAAATGCACCGAGAAAACCATCCATAAAGAGCAATACAATGAAGTATTGAGCCAATGTCCAAGCCCGTAGGCCACACCAACACAGTATCCAGAGTCGCTCTCTCTGTCTGGCGCACAACGCCCAGCCTACTCTACCATACTACACTACCCTACAGCTGGTTCACACAACAGGATCGCTTCGGCTCACGAAGACCAATGTACATGACTGTCAACACCATCGGTGACCTCTCTTCATGTACCAGGTACGTATCTCGTCACCCTCAATCGGACTTTGATTACCCCACACAGCGCCTCACTCCCTGAAGACCACCCGATCATCCGCTGTACCCCCTAGCGCCCAGCAGCCCGGCTATGGCCGCTTGCGCCCCGCTGCCCTGCAGCGCCCCACCTCACCTCTCGCGCTCCGTCAGCGCCCTTGGCAGCAGCGCAACATGAAAGGAATAACGCAGAAGCACTTTCCCAATGCCAGCGCTGGCCAGAATGCCTGGCCTGGGCTGCCTCACTTCCTTTATGGAAGTGGCAGCCTGCTGCATGCTGCGTGTGGCCTGGCTGGAAGCTTCCAGTAGCTTCCGGTTGGGCCTCAGACCCTGTGCCCAGGCCGAGACTTACAGTTGAGGGCCTGGGCCCTTTATAGTTGGGCACGGCCTGAGTCTCCAGACTTGGGCTGTTAGCTGCATCTGCGCAGGGCGCCCAGGTAGGTACATCGGTTGTACTGCTTTCAGAGGCCGATGGCCTGCTTCTCAATGTATCGGCCCTGCTTTGTGTGTAGGTGCCCAGGCACAACTTTCGTGGCCTGGGCCAACTGTATGGCGCAGCTTAGTGAGGCTCGCGCGTTCACTCAACCAACTGACGCGCTGCAAGAGCCTGAATACCCACAAATGGAGTCTTCGAATTTGGCCTGTGACGAATATTTAGGCCCGCGTTCACTTAGGGCGGGCACTTGGCTTGCTGGGGCCTTGGCCCAGAACAGTGTGATGTCTGATAGGGCCACTTGAGGGCTTGTTTCTCACATTCCATCCCCCTTAGCTGAGAGATGGTTAACAACAGACACTATTTACATGTCACTTTCAGCCACTTCAGGTCCCCACCTGAAACTCTTGAAATGACCTGAAGTGGCTGAAGCTTCTGAAAGGGGTTTCAGGTACCCCCATCCAACGATTTGGATGGGGGTACCTGAAACCCCTTTCAGAAGCTTCAGCCACTTCAGCGGTTTCAGGTCCCCACCTGAAATTCCTGAAATGACCTGAAGTGGCTGAAGCTTCTGAAAGGGGTTTCAGGTACCCCATCCAAATGGTTGAATGGGGGTATCTGAAACCCCTTTCAGAAGCTTCAGCCACTTCAGCAGTTTAAGGTCCCCAACACTTGAAACTCCCGAAATGACCTGAAGTGGCTGAAAAAACAGGCTGAAAAAAAAAACAACAACAACATAAAACGTGTCCTCCAAACCACCCGAAACTTTTGAAATGACCTGAAGTGTCTTCAGGCCATTTCAGCAGTTTCAAACCACTTCAGAATCTTTCATTCCGAAATTTCAGGTGGTCGTTAACCGCGAGTGCCTTAGCTTCGAAAGTCCGCTGAGATGCTTCATGCTGGTGCCTTCCCCTTCAATCTTTTCTCATAATCGGCCACGATCTGAGGAGCTGTCTTGACAAGTTCCTCCCTTGAAATCCATCAATCTTCCTTCGGATCTGTATGATGCCTGAAATGTACTCTATATTCCCTCGCAGGTTTGGGAGGTCTTCCCCTGCCAGGTGGCTTAGGAACATGCGTATCTCTGTGATCCAGAATGTCGTCGACGTCCACTTGGCCATCCATGGTTGGGGGCAACATAGATCTCCGTGATGGGAACTGTGCTGTCTCAGCGAAAGGTGCAAGTTTGGAAGCGTGGAAAACACGGTAAGTGCGTAAGTGACCAGGGATATGAATGACGTATGAGGGACCATCCAAATCCTTCCCCACGATATCGAGGACTTCTCAGGGACCGAAATACTGAGGCATTAGTTTCCTAGAGATGTCAAACTCTTGTCCCAGTTCACTAGCCTTGACCCAGACGCGTTCCCCTACCTAAAATGTGGACTGTCGACGGTGCTTGTTCTCGGAAGTAATCATGACCTCTTGAGATATCACTAACGATAGTCTTAGGCAATCCAAAATCACGCACCCAGTTGTCCATGAACAACTTGATGACGCGCTCAGTCCTGACAGTCTCTGGCATGGCGATTAGTCTAGCGTACTCCTGGCAGTCTCTGGCATGGCGATTAGTCTAGCGTACTTAGTGAACCTATCCACTATGACGAAGATGTGCCTCTTGCCATTCTTGCTGGTCACAAGAGTATCCATGAAGTCCATGGAGATACTCTGCCCTGGGCCAGCAGGAATGGGTAAAGTCTTGAGTAACCCAAGCGGAGCTCGAGTCCGCGGCTTGTCCCGCTGATAGACCTGACAGGTCTCCACGTACTTCTTCACATCGTCAAGCATGTTGGGCCACCAGAATCGCTGTACTAAATTAACACTCGTCTTCTTATAGCCGAAGTGTCCCATTGCGTCGTGGCACTCACCTAAAAATAAATTTCGCAAAGTTTCTCTAGATGGAACCACTAACCTCTTGAACCCTGCCTTCTCAAGAAAGAATCACAAACTCGTCAGTGGTGGCCTTATCTTTAGCCTGTAGTTTGTTGATGATGCCCATCGTGATGGGATCTTCCTTGTAGGCTTCATCCAACGATCGAGTCACGTCCTCAGACAAACCAAACTTAGAAATCAGCGCACCTAGGTCCGGACATGCTCTCTCTCTATAATAATTTATTAGACAACCTCAAGTTTTTTATTATGAATAATTCATTACCTTTTATTAGGTTTTTTAACTTTTTTAAGCCTTTTTTTAAGCTTTTTATAGTTTTTGACTTTTAACTCAAGTTTGGTTAGGAATTCTGACATGACTCTGAGGCAAAAGGGGTTTGCATTGTTATTCTGCATAACATACTTTTTTTTCAGATTTTTTTATTTTTATTTTTTTTAATGGTCCGGACATTTCCGGACCTGTCCAAACGTCCGGACCGTCCGGATCCCCCCATGTCCGGAGGTCCAGAAATGTCCGGAATTCCGGACGTCCGGAAACTACCGGACACGGGTCCGGTTCCATGTCCGGAAATGTCCGGGTCCGGGTCCGGCGTAGCCATGGTACCAAGCGATTTTAGGACTGCATGCTCAACTGAACAGGCGCAGTCCCATCAGCCCCTAGAAGCTTCTAGGGACTGCACCTGTTCCACGGCCGCGGCCACATTCACGGCCGTTACACTTTCCTCCTCTCCTTTTCCTGTCCCCTTTTCTTCTTCCTACCTCCTGTATCTTCCCTAAACCCGCGGCCACGTACGTGGCCGCTATTTATTTCCTTTCTTTTTTTCTTTCTACCTACCCCCTTGTTTTTTTTTTTTTTTTTTTTTTTTTTGCTGGAAGCAACTTGTCGCCTAAAACGAACAGGCACCCTCCCCCTTCTCAGTCTTTTCATGGGGTTGAGCCTGTATCTGGTGCAAATGAGCACCTGATACAGGCGCGGCGGCCCAAGAGAGCAGCCCGTTTTTAAAAAGAACGCGCACTCTCTGGTGGGTTCCCTTCTCTCTCTCTCTCTCTCTTACACACACACACGCGCACACACACACACACACACCACGACAATGTATAGATCCACGAACGAGGGTGGATCCATTCACACCTGGCCAGGCTGTCGAGGTTCAGCCTCCTGAAGAGTCAGTGTGAGTCCGACGAAACATTCTGGCACAGTCATGCCCCCTTCGTAACTCGAGCACAGGTCCCAAGAACCCTCGCTCTCATACAACCGCTATTAGCGGCAAGTCCATTCAATTTTGCTCCTCCCTTCGAAAGCACACGGCAGCCCGTTCGTTAAAACGAACGGGTGCTTTAGTAAATTCACGAACAAAAGAAGAAGAAAAAAAAAATTAAAAAAATCTAAAGGAAAATCTAAGAAAAATCTATAGCAAATATAGAAAGAAACTCAACCAAAATCAGAAAAGAAAAAACTTACCTGAAAGTGAAAAGGATGCCTGTGAAAACGGGCGCCTGCAAGACCCTTTTGGGGACCTAAAGTCCCCGCAGTTCTCCTTGCGCCACATGGCGCCTCAGTTGTAGGGTTTTTTTTTTTTTACATTCTTTTTCCCGTTGGCGAGTCACGACTCGTGGCGTTTCGGTCATGTGCATTAAACCCCCAGGGCGTGGTTCCATCAGCAAAGAGAATCGAATCGAATGCCTGAATCTGGGTGAGGTTACGGGGATGTGCAGAAAGTCGAGTTTGAACTGCTTTCTGCAAATCGGCATGAAACACATCCAGATTCAGGAGCTCGATCCTATCCTTTCGCGAGTGGGACCTCAGCCGAGCAGCTCGTTCATCAAAACGAACGACTGCTCGGACGAGGGCAAGAAGAAAAAAAATCTAGAAACAAATCTAAAACAGAAATCTAGAAAAACAAAAAAAACAAAACAAAACGAAAACAAAAGAACTTACCTGCCCGTTTCCTCCTTTTCAGGGATTGCAAGTCCCTGTCAGATCCCCATGCGCCATGTGGCGCACTTCTTTAGTTAGATTTTATTTATTTATTTTATTTTATTTTATTATATATATATATATATTTTTTCTGTTTCTCGTTTATACACATCATCGTTACACAAGGGCCAAGCTGATCTGCGCGCGATCGATCTCGGCCGTGCGATCTCCGAGATCGTGTGGTCAAAATCGACCACGCCACTTCTGAAGGGGCAGCTCCGAAAGGAGCTATGCCCAGTAGAGTGCAGCAGTTCAGATTCAATCCCGGTATCAGCCGGGTATGAGTCCTGGGCGGTAACCTACTAGGCTAGCTCCTATCACGACAGTGATAGGAGCGACTCTTCTATATGAAGAGCTTGCCCAGTCAGGTTTCCCCCATACCGTAACCTTGCAGGCTTTGCCTGCCCGTAGCCTTGCAGGCCCAACCTGCTTGCGGCCCTGCAGGCCTCGCCTGCTTGTGGCCCTGCATGCTCAGCTAGCCGCGGGGCCTCAACATCAGCCTTTCAACCCCCTGGCTTAGTGTCAACCCCCGCGACCCTAGGATCAAAACCCTTCTTCCTATTCCCCCCTTTTTTGCCTCCTTAGGCCCTGAATCGTGCGGCTGTTAGTTTACCGTTCCTATGTCCGCATTTTCCTGCGGCTTCGTTAAAAGCGAAACATTACCATTCACATCCGTTACTCCTGGACACCACACGCGCTCGGACTAACGTCAGAAAACTTTCAGTGTGTCAGTCATAGGTCATGTTTGAATAAACTTTTGGCAACATCCTCTCATCAAGTCCTTCAATTCAACGAAAGAGTCAAACAACGTGCGACGTTGAAAAAACCCGGCAAATATCCTTGTCAGGGTATTTGCCCCGACAACGTATGCTAGCAACCTTAGCATCTTCAGGCCTAATCCTATCCGTGGATACTTCATGACCCAAGTACAAGATTCGAGTGCGACCGAACCCGCATTTCTCTATGTTTATCTTATACTTGTGTTGTTGAAGGAGTGAAAGTACAATGTCTACATGCTGAGCATGCTCCTCGACAGATCTACTGAAGATAAGTATGTCGTCGAGGTACACGACAACAAACTTATCCAAGTAGTCATGGAAGATCCTATTCATGGCGTGCTGGAATGTACCCGGCGCATTGCAAAGGCCAAAGGGCATCACCACAAACTCGTACAGACCGTACCTGGTCTGAAATGCGGTTTTATGTTGGTCCTCTGGTCTAATGGCAATCTGATGGTAGCCGGATTTTAAGTCTATCTTTGTGTAGTACTTACATCCCTGCACCCTATCCAATAGGTCGTCGATGCGCGGTAGAGGCTCTGCGTTCTTAACGGTGATGGCATTGAGGCCTCTATAGTCAATGCACATCCTTAGTGCTCCCCGTTTCTTTGGAACAAATAAAACTGGTGAGCCATAGAGGGAAGTGCTAGGCCGAATGAGCTCTTTCAGTTGCCGCCGAAGTTCGTCCAACTCGGCTGGAGCCATCCTATAGATTCTACCCTTAGGTGTTTTACTTCCTGGGATAATCTCTATGGCATGGACAATCTCCCTGTCTACGACTCCTGTAGGCTCCTCGAACAGATCTGGGTACTTGGCGACGATGGTCTCTATCTCTGGGGTGTTTTAACGGCCTCCCCTTTTGCAGAGACATAGACTAAGTACATTCCTTCCTTTGGGTTCTGTTTATAATAATTATAAAAGGCTGATGCGCATAAGCACCCATAGGAGTCTACTAACCTACTGGCTTTGTACTTGGCCAGTCTCACGGTTCTCCCACTAGGTAACTCGTGCTTTAACACCTTCTTGTCCCAATCAAATTGGGGCTTAGCAACCTCGAGGTAGTACATGCCCAATAACATATCAAAGGGCAACTCGTCGCTCACCAGGAATGATATCTTATGGTTTATCTCTCCTCCTGGGTAGGAGAAGGTGCAGACTACATCTTTAACATAGTCCTCCACCATCATGCGCTCTTTGTTGGCCAAAGTAGATGCTACCGGTCTACTAAGGCGCTGCACCCGGTCCTTTAGGCACAGTCTGTCAACGCAGTCGCGACTTATGAAGTTTCGTGTAGAGCCAATGTCTACGAAGGCGCCGCACTTGCGACCACCCACATCAACTTCCACAACGAAATGCTCCCCTCTAGGACCTCTACTCAGTGCCACCCAGGACTCACGAGGGTCCCTTGCGGACCACTCACCTTGAAGGTCCTCTAAGGGCTCAGACACATCCAACGTACAGAGTATAGTTGGGTCCGGATGCGTCTACGGGGTGACTAAGGAGTCAATAGCTTTTGCCATCTCTTGAGACGGGGAGGGTGCACCACCCGCTTCAACGAGATTAGAAGCAACTATAACTTCTACTAGTCCTAAGTGTTTCCCGAATTGGAGCTCGTAGAGGCCCCAGATTGAGAAGAAGAGAACCCACCCTTAGGAGGGATCTTCTGCGAGACCTTCGGGTTCTTGCATTTAAACTGGGTGTGATCATACTCACCACAGTTAATACAAGCACCACGAGACGAACGATCCCGCCACACTTCTTGATCCAGACCTGCTCTCACCCAAGCAGCTATTTTGTTTGGGTTAGCGGCCTGCCCCTGACTCCTTTGTTGACTGCCCTTGCCACGGCCAGCTGCCTTAGTCTTAACTACGGCGGCGAGGTTGCTACCCTCAGCACTCTCCTCGCCGTCAAACTCTGAACCCTCCACAAGATCGAAAACATCATCGATCTCGGTTTGATTCCCATCGTAATCAACCATCATGAATCGACTACCCTTCTTCTTCCATTCTTGTGGAGTCTTCTTCTTTCTCCCATCCGTAGAAGGGGTTTGAGCTCCACCCAGCGTAACCTCTAAGTCTAGGGCCTTCTTGCTGAATGACTCAAATGTGTGATACTCGCGTCGAGCCTCGCTGGCTAATAAGTTCCTAATGTCTGTGGGAAGACATCTCAGGAACATGGTCAGCAAGACCTGTGGATTGTACTCCACTCCCGGGACGACGATCAGGCGCTCTACGGCTATGGTGAGTTCCCGCACAGACTTGTACTTTCTAGTATCAAGCTTTAAGAGCCCATCAGTGGCAATCTGTGCCTGCTGAGGGTTGTGCCAACGAGCCTCAACTAAATCCATAAAGCTTTCTAATGTATGGATATGCGCCCAATCATGCATGTTCCTGCCGTAGCCCTTTGAAGCGACCAATCCGTTTAGCCAACGGGCTGTTGAACCCTCTAAGTAGGATGCAGCAGTAATCACCTCCTCTTCTACCAACGTCCTCTTTGCCCTTACCCACACTGGCACCGTTCTCAATCATGTGTCGAGAGCCTCATCCTTCCTATCTCCTGAGAAGGTTGCATGTGGGTTCAGTGGGGTCTTGGGGTACGAAGGATATTGTTGTCCCTGTTGTGAGACAGGTGGCGACCGTGGTGTAGCAACAGTGGCTGGACCAGAAGATGAAGAAGCAACAGTCTGAGATAGGGCTACTGTTGATGATACACTTGGTGGTGGTGTAGACTGAGCGGCATAGAGGCCTGTCATCGCTGAGAGTGGCAGCGATGGTAAAGCTGCTGGCTGGATCCCCGGCTTATGCATAGCATTCAGCATCTGGTCCAAGGTGTCCTGGATTGCATCCAGTTTACTGTCCATGTATGCATGCATGGACATGATGCTCGCCTTCAAAATCTTTTCATTGTTGCTGAGGGTCGAGTCATCTAATCCTTCTAACGCAGCCTGATCTGCCTCCCTGCTGTGTAGTCTAGCACTTCTATCTTTGATCTCTTTTTCTCTTTTAGTAGCATGCCTAAGTTCTTCCTCTAACCTTAAGCGGATCCTCTCTACTTGCTGGAGCTCCATCTGCACCCGGGTGCGTGGAGGCGGCGAGCTGAACTGCGAGCCCGCCATCTGACTAGTTCCAATCCCTGACGTACTGGAGATTGACTGTGAACCGGTAGGCATGCCTAGCCCTTGACCAGTTGAGTTTGCAGCAGATGCTGCGGAAGCGCCATTAGCCATTGCAACCGCTCTAGCGGTTGCTGCTACTCTTGCAGCCTCAAGGTTACGGGCCCTAGCTTCAGCCCTTAACCTTCTCTCTTCTCCCTGTTCTAGGGTCTGGAACACTCTAGGAATTCTAAGGGATGATATCCTTATTACTCTCCTATCGTCGTTTGCACCCTCACCACCCGCTGATCCACTCATAGGTTAGGCAGACGCTGTCTGCACTAATGTCCTCACTGGAACCTACCGCAGCATGCGTCTGACCGGATCTAAAAATAAACAAATAAATGTCTGGCGAGTTACCTAGTCTAGTAGTCAAGCGGCATCAACAACATCTACACAAACTGTACACATTGACTGACCAGTCCTATTGAGACGCTCCCAGACCGTCTATAAACATTTCTGGTTGGGGTCTATACTGTCCACTGGCTGTGATGGTCGTCCTGTTTGCGACGTTAAATAATTCCTGAGGAGATGGGGGCTCTCCTTAAATCCCTCCTGATCAGCCAGATCATTCAGACGTAAGGCTCGTTGCACGCGAGGGTAAACAAAGGGGCAAGCTGGTCATAAGCATACTTCTTGGGCACAGGGGTGGGCCGTGGTTGCACACCTTAGACACCGCAGCTTGATGATGCTCACAGGTACGTTGGATACAGGGGAAGGAGATTCCAATTGTGAACTCAACTGTACATCACTGACATATCCATTGTGCATACATCTGCTCACATTAGTCTGAGTTTTATTTTGATTAGTTGGTTGACCGACTGCTGACACCTAACAGACAGACTAGAGTAGGACTGTAATCTACCATAGTCAGTTCTTCTTGAATCTTCTGTACAGAGGAGTCAGAATAAAGCACACCCCTTCTATCAGAAATGGACAAAGCAGCCATCGCATGCGTGTACTAATCCCATTGGGTTGGCATGGTGACCGTGACCCACGTGCTTCGACCAGGGCCCTTCAGAGGCACCGCCCTCTCCTTCCAGATGCGCCACCGAGAAGAATGTCGTCTCTCAAGATAGAGCGCACAGGACTCCTCACCAAAGAGAGGACACTCAAGTTGGACTCACTTCCTCACGGTAAGAAGTGATTGAGAGGGTAGATAAGGAATAGGAACAACGACCCTGGAGATAGCTGCCCCCAACCACAGATTTCTCACCAATTGGGCTGATGTGCATTTCGATGACCGGTCAATAGCCTCGGTACCACCCACAACGCAATGTAGTGCCACCTCAGCCAAAATGCCACTTCAGCATACTCTCATCATCATCTATACACCCGCTGTCGCCACAGCTCCCACGCTGTCGCCACAGCCTTCCAGCGGCTGGCCTCTCTACCTAGGCCCCGCTAATCAACCAGCGGCAAAGTATTCTCACTGCACTTGAAGCATCCTCAGCGCACCAAGTTACAATGTCACCGGTGTCAGGTAAGCGGTGATCATCAACCAGCTCCGATACCAAATTGCTAGGAATATGAGAGTGAGCAATATACATAAAACCAAGTTGCGAAATCACACAGCTGAGCAAGTAGTAGTATCCCAAGTAGAGAGTACAAATGCTCCGAGAAAACCATCCATAAAGAGCAATACAATGAAGTATGGAGCCAATGTCCAAGCCCGTAGGCCACACCAACACAGTAGAGTCGCTCTCTCTGTCTGGCGCACAGCGCCCAGCCTTCTCTACCATACTACACTACCTTACAGCTGGTTCACGCAACAGGATCGCTTCGGCCCACGAAGACCAATGTACATGACTGTCAACACCATCGGCGACCTCTCTTCATGTACCGGGTACGTATCTCGTCACCCTCAATCAGACCTTGATTACCCCACACAGCGCCTCACTCCCTGAAGACCACCCGATCATCCGCTGTACCCCCTGGCGCCCAGCAGCCCGGCTATGGTCGCCTGCGCCCCGCTGCCCTGCAGCGCCCCACCTCACCTCTCGCGCTCCGCCAGCGCCCTTGGCAGCAGCGCAGCATCAAAGGAATAGCGCAGCAGCACTTTCCCAATGCCAGCGCTGGCCAGAATGCCTGGCCTGGGCTGCCTCACTTCCTTTATGGAAGTGGCAGCCTGCTGCATGCTGCGTGTGGCCTGGCTGGAAGCTTCCAGTAGCTCCCGGTTGGGCCTCAGACCCTGTGCCCAGGCCGAGACTTACAGTTGAGGGCCTGGGCCCTTTACAGTTGGGCACGGCCTGAGTCTCCGGACTTGGGCTGTTAGCTGCATCTGCGCAGGGCCCCCAGGTAGGTACATCGGCTGTACTGCTTCCAGAGGCCGATGGCCTGCTTCTCAATGTATCGGCCCTGCTTTGTGTGTAGGTGCCCAGGCACAACTTTCGTGGCCTGGGCCAATTGTATGGCGCAGCTTAGTGAGGCTCGCGCGTTCACTCAACCAACTGACGCGCTGCAAGAGCCTGAATACCCACATATGGAGTCTTCGAATTTGGCCTGTGACGAATATTCAGGCCCGCCTTCACTTAGGGCGGGCACTTGGCTTGCTGGGGCCTTGGCCCAGAACAATGTGATGTCTGATAGGGCCACTTGAGGGCTTGTTCCTCACACTAGGATGCTCCCGCTCTGTTCCCTGTTATACGCTGGTTCGAGGATGTGCCTTGGGGGGCCTTGGGGCTTGTCGTGTTCATGTTATTTCACTAGGGTTTGGATTTTGAACCCATAGTCTGATTATTATTATTATTATTATTATTATTATTTAATAAAGCAGGCCTTTTGGTCCTGGCTCCTTCTATTCTGGGGAGCGTCAGTCCGGTTCCTATTCCACCGGCAAGTCAAAAGGAAGATTACATTGCATCATAGACTCACGCTTCCTCCCGTTTGGCCGAAGGACCCCTGAACAACATTGATTGCTCCACCATTGGTGGAGGATGGACTGTCAGCTTGCCATGACTCACTCTTTCCTCTCAGACCTGATAGAACCAGCCCTGCCTAATAAAGCTATGTCCCCTAGAAAGAGCTCGCCCATAATTTCTGCTTGCTTATGCTTCCCTCCTCGCCAGTTCAGCCCGTGAGTCGAAGTATCCCTTCCCCCATTGAGCTTTCTCCCTTTTTTAGATGCTACTAGAACCCCTTAACCTTGAACCCTCCACTATTGGGCCTCGCTGTCCCTTCTGGGCTGGGATTTAAGGTTATGTCTCCATTCTATTAGAGTGATACGGGAACCTGTCTTCCTTGTGCTTTTACTCTACCATCCTTCGAGTCAGCCTTTTTTCGCACGCTTCTACCTTCCAAGTACGTACTTCCATTCCCAGGCTGTGCCTTCCCTAAAGTAATGGTATAGGTACGCCGTTTCCTCTTCAAGATTCTGGTCCGGAGGTGCCTTGCCCTTGCGCAGTTAAACGCTGCCACACACTTCTTCCCGAGTTGGAGTTGTGCCAGTCCTTCCAGTAGATGCGGTCGTCTCGTAGATCAGCAACTTTCCCTTTTATCAACCATATCCTGCTGAACTTCAGTCTCRCCTTCTTTCGCTGTTCCTCRWCCTYTGACCATGATARTTTGATTTTCCGCCAACGRCATAGGATTTYCGCCTGTATCATTRCTTTYGTCTCCARCCAAATCATCTCTCGTGAGTTGGACACTCCTTCGATCGTTCTGCTGCATCTTTCCTTCCATATGATCCATAGTGTCACCTTCGTGATGAGTCCATACCAATTTTTTGCCGCTTTCCGGAGCTGTTCAGGGATGTTAGTCAGAAGGAGAAGTTGGATGGGTTGTTCACGGAAAGGAGTCGGGAAAAGGGAGTCCCAGAGGGTCGAGGCTCTTGCGCAGAATTTTGTCACCTCCCTACAGTGTATTAAGCAGTATACTATATCCTCTACAGCCCCTTCCGTACATACTTTGCATTGATCGGAACTGTCGGGGTCTGAACCCTTCCGCCTAGCGTGTAGCCACTGGTTGACCGGTAGTGCCGCATATATAATCAGCCATTGGAGGCTTTTGATTTTGATTGGTCTGATCGTTTTATAAATCTTCCACGGGATCTGTGTGATGTTGTCTGCTTCCTGTCCTATTAGCTTCTGCCACCTGACCTTGATCACTGGTTCTGTGTCCCAGGACATGGCAGCCTCAGGTCCTTGTAGGTTTGGAATTTGTTCATCTGACAGCCACCAGCCTATGGTCTTCTTCCAATTGATCTTCATTTCCGATGCCAGTCTGAACGCTTCCATTGCCCTGGACAGTGCTTTAAAAGACGAATCCGATGCTCTAATCAGCACTGTCATGTCATCTGCAAACAAAATAACTGTCGGGAACTTGAGATGGTGAGACGTCCCTACATTGACCTCTGGGAGTCTATGTATGGAGGGGTCTTTCCTTAGGAAGGAAGCAATGGCCTCCATCACAAATAGGAAGATCGAGGGAGCAAGCGGGTCCCCTTGCCTGACTGAACGTGATATTGGGTAACTGTCAGACAGAAACCCGTTAATCTGCACACAGCCTGAGGCATTATTATACAAGACCTGGACCCATTTCCTAAAAATTGGTCCCACCCCCATGCGTTCCATACTTGCATCCATAAAAGACTAGTTGAGTTGATCATACGCTTTTTCAAAATCGAAGAAGAGTATGGCTGTGTTTATCCTCCTTTCTCTGACTTTGTTTGCAGCTTCGTTTAGAGTTAGCACATTATCCAATATGTAGCGTCCAGGGATAAAGCCCGTCTGATCAATGTGAAAACATTTATCAGTTATTTTCGTAATTCTGGCAGCCAGGGACTTGGCCAGGATTTTGTATGGGAGAGTTAGTAAGGAAATAGGTCTATAGTTCCTGATGTCTTCCTTGTCCCCCTTCTTGTACAGTAGTGTTACAACGCTGCTACTCAATAAACTGCCTAAACCCCCTTTCTCATAGCTATCTTTGTAGAAGTTCAATAGGTCCCCCCCTAGGTATGGCCAAATTTTTTCCCAGAATTCTCTCGTCAGCCCATCAATGCCTGGTGCTTTGTCATTGTTCATGCTCTTAAGAGCTTGTTTTAGCTCCTCCAATGATAGGGGCTTGTCCAACTCTTCTGATTGTTCTCGCGATATCGTTTGCTCCAAGTATTGTAACATCCTTTGTCTTGCTTCCAATGTGTTGCTTGGCGTGGGTGTTTGGGTTTTAGTCTGATATAAGTCTTGGTAGAATTCTTTAGCAATTCCCAAAATCCCTTCGCTGGTTTCCGCCGACACCTCCGGGTTGCTGAGGGTTTTCAATTTCTCTATTGTGGCTGCTCTTGTATTTGCTTTAATTCGGGCAAAGAAGTGTTTCGACATTGATTCGCTGAGATCATATTCGCACATCCTGGCTCTTATCTGCATGCCTTTTAACTCCCACCACCTCCACATCGCTAACTCTTTCGGTGCTTTCTCAAATATGCCTGCATATAATGTTGAGGACGGGTTGTCCCTCAGGTTGTATTCCGCTATCTTCAGAGCCTTTTCTAGGCTTTGCTTTCTCTGCTTCCTTATAGAGGCCAGTTTTCTTGACATGCCGGCTGCTGCCTCCGCTAATAGCGAGTAACTCTCTACGAACCATTCCCACCGATCATGAGTAGGTAGGCGGCTCATACCCTTCTCTTTCCAATATTCCTGTATCCCTTCTTGGAAAGTTTGACCAAGCAGGAGTGAGTTGTTCAGTTTGTGAAAGCTGGCCCCTTTCCTTACTCGTTGCTCAAAGCATATCGTGAGCTCAATGGGTTTGTGGTCCAGCCCTTGGTAAGGTGCTAAAGGCAGGATCGCCGCCTCTTTCACCGCTCCCATCATTGTACCTGATATCAGGAAATAGTCTATCCGTGAGAATCCTGTGTGCTGCGCATGGCTTTTCTTGATCAGTGAGAAGGCTCTCGACGTCGGATGGAAGATTCTAAAGGGGTCTACTAGGTCATGATCTACCATCAGCCTCTGGACAGGTACCGCCTCTTGAGAGTTGTATGTGTTGGAGGATCTGGATATGCGGTCTGTTACCGGGTCTAAGGTTGCATTCCATTCGCCCCCCACTATACACGACGTCAGAGGTGGGATCTTTGTCCCCAACTCTAACAGGAAAGATGTTCTTTCGGATGCGTTGTTTGGGGCATAGATATTGAGAAGGAAGAGCTCTTCGTCTTTCCACTTAAGATGCATAGAACACCATCTGCCATCGTTGGGGTCCGCTTCCTTGTTCATAACACTTCCTGCCTTGTATAAACGTGAGGAGCTGGGGATTAAGATTGCTGTGCCCTTAGTACTCGATACATTGTCTGCCGCCCATATTTCATCTTTGACCCCTCCCAGCTTCCTTGACACAATTCTTTTGATTTTGTTGTGTTCTGTTGAAAATGAGAGATGAGTTTCTTGTAGCATTATTATGTCTGCTGGTGTTTTGTTTTTAACTGTTAAACCTTGGACTATGTCATTCCATTTTTCTTCTTTGTCTACGACATTTCCCATGCCATTCACATTCCATGATCGAATGATGATTCCTTGGTTTTTCCAGTCCCTCTGGCATTCCCTCTCATTTGCCCTCTTCCTGAACCCCTCCATCCTCTGGGTTCTACTGGGTTAGATCGGGTTACCATCGATCCATTGCACAGTCTACGAAGGCGCGCCCCCCCCCGTGTCCATGTCCAACAGCCCCTCCCCCCCATAGTCTGATTATTAACAGTTGCATACATCTTTCTTGCCTCTTAAAACCTTGATGTCAAACGACTTTGGAACTGTCATCTTTGTCTAAAGGCAGGTAGGCTCTGACATTGTTGTGTTCATGTTATTTCACTAGGATTTTAAGTTTTTAACTCATGGTCTGGTTATTAAGAGTTACGTGTGGGCTGGGTTTCCTCATTTTTGTGTGGCGGATTGTGTTAAACAGTAGCTGCAGCCATCCAATGAAAGCCCTTGTGAGAAGCTTCCGTCCCGAGGATGGTCCACTGTTGAAGACTTGAAGCGTTTGTAAACGTCTTACTAAGGACGTCTGTGCCTGATTGAACCAACTTTCATCATCCTGCATGCGCCTCAGCTGGATCTGGATGACTCAGCTGTCGGGATATTGACGGATTCTAATGCTGAATACTACCCTCATGCTTCAAATTGTTTGACATCGACTGTCTGGATACTGATCGATGCCAGCCACCGGCAACTTCAACTTCGGCAAGCTTCAAAGATCATACTCCTCTTTCCTTCCCCGCCCTCTTTGTCGAATTGGGGACACTGGTCTCTTCCTTCTCCCACTTCACATGCTACTCGAACTGGTCCATGAACTTCCATCCGTAAGAAATCTTCAAGTTACTGTCTGTGAACCATGAATGGGAAAGGTCTGAGCAGAACATTAATGTGCGCTATCAGCTATGGTGATCACGGGGTTTGTATCGTTTCACAGTGAGTCCTTTTTTTCTCTTCTCTTCTCTTCTATCCTCTCCCCTTCCATTTTGAGAGTATCAAATTCTTCGCACTGAAACAACTGGCGTGTTTGCTCAGTGGGGAAGTTTCAGTCCATTGAATGTACAAGGAATTGAAGGTAGTATTTTACTCATGTTAAGTCATGGACTGGTTTCTTCCGCCCTTTTTTTATGTGTAGGTGCTTTATATGATCGACATAAAACCTAACTTGTTAAATATTTTGGAGGTTTAGTCAGTGCAATGCCTGTCTTCTCTACTATTTTCCTGTTTACCAAATCGATGTAAGGTCTTAAACGTTTCTGGTTGGTGGCTGAGTGGTAAATCCTTTCTCTCCTCCTACGCTCCCAATGTTTAAGTGACAATCATCTTAACCAAACTTCACAACCTCTGAGATTTCTGACACTTGAATCTGGGAGGTTGACTTCTGGAGGTAAAAGATGCAGCTCGAACGAAGAGGTCCTCCATCTCCCAAAATGGCAAACTCGGAGTCTTCCATCCTGGCGAGGCACTACAAGTTGTCCATCTCTTCTTTGATCAGCAGAATTAGTGCTCTTTGCAAAGATGCACATCCCAACAAGCACATCTGCGTGGAAATTGGTCCGCTAATGATGATGCTGTACCCGATCATTCGTGACGTGGAGTTCGCTGACTTGATGGACGATCCTTGTGCACGAATCCGCATCCAGCACTTGCAAAAGGCTCTCGGGAGTATCGAAGCGTTGCTGAAGAAGTGGTTGCCCAGTGGGCCATTTTTGTGGTTAGTCCATGGCACGCGCATTTTGCGGCACCTTGCTGATGTCAGCAGTGAGATCTGTCATTCCTTGCAAGTCGTTGAGAGGGTGCTCACAGGGGAGAACCGAAAGCAACTGCACAAATTGAGAGAGGGTCTCCTTGGTGTAAAGTTCAAAGTGCCCGAGAGAGATTTGCAATTATCGGAGAGAGTAATTGATCTTCTGGAAACCTGGGAGGATAATGATAAGGAAGCAAAAACAGCTAGCTATGACCACAGCAGCAGCAGCATCCCTTGGAATCCACGAGGTGCTGCATCTCTGTCTTCTGCTAATGGTCCAAACGGCACAGCTTCGTCAGTTATTGCAACTGCACAGGTCCTCACTGGGCCGTCATATGTGCCATGGGACAGTGGTGATCGAGGGGAAGGATTCCCACCGCTGATGTCACAACGCAATGCTGAGCGGAAAGATCACGAGGATGTGGCAGCGCGCAGAGCAGGTCCTACTGCGATAGACTTAGAAGCTGGGACTGTGGCGGCAGGCCTGGCTGAATCGTGTAACGAGAACGGGAAGAAAACAAAGGGTGACCGTGTGCGGGAGGTCTTGCAAGAAGCTGCTGAGTATCTTGGAATTCCAGAGAGTGATGTTATCGAGGAGTTCAAGCAAGTAAAGCAGGAAATGACAGAGAAGGCCATGTTTCATGCACTGACTATCGACCCGTGTTCACTTGAGTTTGTGAGATTGATTGGTGCTGGAGGGGGCATTAACTCAGGAGTGTGGATTGGCAGAATTTGGGAGAAGGGTATTGATGGAGTACTCTCGTCACGAGAGGTCGCAGTGAAGCGCTTTCCGTATCTGGAAGGCTTGCACGTTTCCGAAGAGTTCAGGAAAGAACTGAAGGTCCTCCACAGGGCATCAACTCGTTGCCGAAATGTGTGTGAATTGTATGGCATTTGTGAAAAAGGCGGTTACCTCTGCATTGTCATGAGATTGTACAAGCACAGCATCGAGGATGTAATCAAGAGGGTATGTATAAAAAAACAACGAAAAAAAAAGGCAAAGAGGGGGCCATGTGGCGCACAAACTGGAATCCGTTTGCTGAATGCAAGGGAAAATTCGAATGTCTGTGTGAAAAGCCAGTCTGTTACGGACTTCGCCAGGGCTCGATCCCTGGTCTATCTTTTGCTGTTTCGGCTGCATCCCGTTTTCGGCCTGGCACCCTTTTTCCAAACCCCTCCTTTTGGTACCGTAGGATTTTGGACAACTGGCGCCATGCTGCAATTCGGGCGCCACTTTCAAATACTGCATTTTTCAGTTCTGCCCTCGGGGCCTTTGCAGAAATGCCCCTGGTACCGTAAGTGTCACCGGTACTTATGACCGGCTCCCCGTACGGTACAGGGGAGAGTCGCGTACCAGTTCTCTGCTGCTGTACTCGTACTCAGTGTGACTTGCTGTTTTCGGCATTCGGGAATCCAAGACTTCGACTTT